GTGTGTGTGTGTGTGTGTGTGTGTGTGTGTGTGTGTGTGTGTGTGTGTGGGCCAGCCATTCGTAAAGGAGGAGGGGTCGGTGTAATTCAGCAGGGATTCTGCAAATGAACAGGAAAAGCATTAAACTGGGACTGCGTTCAGGTTATTCCTCTGAAAAAAGAATCGCCCCAAAGACACATTTCTATGAATAGAAAACAGGATTATAAGACATCCACATGGGCTCCGGTATTAAATGGGGATATAATTCGGAATTTCATTTTTTTTGACCATTAGAAATAAATGTACAGGATATTCACGCCATCAAACTGTGACATCACTCCAGCACCGGCTAATGCCATGCACGCACTGCATGCAGACTGTGCCCCAGCTACTGACCTACATTTACCCCCCCCACCCTGGACTGTATTGGAGGGGCAGTCTGGGTAGCAGGAGTGTCCTTGATGAGGCCTGCCACTCTCTCTCTCACACACACACACACACACACACACACACACACACACCCTAACCCAGCCCCCTCCACCCTAGGGAGTGACATGAATGCAGCGTTGCCTCTTTTTTTTGTCCTGAGTCTGAGGTTTTATCAGATTCAAGCTATTCTATCGTTCACTACTAAAATCTTCTAATGACTGATGTTTATAACATTTTGATTTGAGGTAGCTTAATAATGATAGACATCCAGAGTGATTGCATGTGATTTAATTATGTCATAGTAGTTCCTGTTTTGACCCCCATTTAATTGAACTGGTTGTAATCTGTAAAGCGTCCAAGGCAAAATGTAGCTGACAGGAGGCGACGAGCTTAAAATCTTTGCTGTGGTTTAGCAACGATCACAACAAAGTGTCTGCCCGATGTTTACGGTTGGCATTCGGCGTGGGGTAAAGACGTCAAATACGTGTTATGGAAAGACCCCGTTGATAACACTCGGCTCTTTGGCTGCTGTATTTACATTTCACTCATTTAGTCTGACACACTTTACTACAACACAGAGTGCAAAAAGCTTCAGTCTGCATTGCCAACATTATGCAGCAGTAGTGAGGAGTAGATGTGTCAGAGGGGCACGGTGATACTCCTGTGA